AGCCAAGTTGGTAGTTTCGTATAGTCGTGACATTCATTCCATTTACGTTTCGTCTCACTATCCACTTTCGTCATCACCAAATGAATCATGATTGCATCACATATCTGTTCGTGTGATCCCAGTGACTTAAGCGAACTATATAAAGCCGAAATGTTGTCCACTAATTGGCGAAGTTGAGTCGAATCAGGCTTAATACATTGTGGTTCATCAAAAAGTGTTGCAATGCCTTCCAGAAATATGAGAGGGTCATTGTCGTATCGCTCTTTGAGTCTTTGGAGAGCCTTCGGATAGTTGTCTTCCGTTATTTGGAACGCCTTTACTGTAGCTAACGCTTCGCCTTGAAGACACGATAACAAATGGTTGAATTTTTCAGTTGATGTCAAGAGTGAATCACTATCTACAAGGATTTGAAAAATATGTATAAAATTTTTGAATTCAAGATATTTGCCGTCAAACTTAGGCAACTTTAAATGTGGAAATCTGTTTGACGGTAGATGCGGTAACGAGAAAGTTTGCTCATGGTAGCTTTGTCTCCTCCGTCCATCAACTAATGACAATATTAAACATTTTGTACTTACGTACAGCTCATCGATGTCAGAGCGCGCTGAATCTGTAGCACAATATCGCTCTATCTGATTCTGGTAGTAAGATACCTGCTTATAATATGCATCTAGCATCCCAAGTCTACACTCCAATTCCGTTGACGATAAAGTTTTGTTGTTCTCAACAATATTTTTAATTTGCGTTATACTGCCTTTTGTAGATGCTCGCTGCTGTTTTAATTCTACTAACGAAGGCAATGGTGGCAGAGAATTTGACGCTGTAGTCGAATTGTTTTCGGCAGCGCTGCTCGCTGCTGCATTATTAGAATTTTGCATCACCGAAAGCAAATGCAAAACCGAAAATAAAACAAAAAAAAACCAACTAATGTTATGAAGGTTAATAACCTGAATGATTGTCAAGGTTATTGTAAAATTGAACAACTGTTGTTTATTTTTTAAGTTTTAAACAATTACTGATGTAAGAGACTATTAATATTAAGTTTTTAATATTAATTTGAAAGACCTTTAGTCTTTATTTATATCAAGTCTTTAATATAAATTGAATTTAATTTGAAACACTTTTAGTCGTCATTTATATCAAGTCTTTAATATAAATTGAATTTAATTTGAAACACTTTTAGTCGTCATTTATATCAAGTCTTTAATATAAATTGAATTTAATTTGAAACACATTTAATAGTTAATTTATCATAAGTCTTTAAAATAAATTTAAGATAATTTCAAACACTTGTTTTTAGGCACACTACGGTCGTGTCCTGTCACGGTCGCCAATGATCGAAAACTATTTAATTTAATAGTTTTTTCTATTCTCTTTGATTTTATAGAAATCCAAACGCACCTTTTGCTTGAGTAGTTCACATACCACTGACTTTATTTTTAAAACATATTATTAATAATAGCAAAAAAAGCAAAACAAAAGGAAAGCTGCGGCTATTAAAAGCTTTTTTTTGGTTGTAAATAAATGTTAAATAATTGAACTTAAAATAAGTATACGAGAACCCAATTGACTTAACAGAATTAAAGAGCAAGCTAACATAATTCAGAAGTTAAAATATGGCTTAAAGTAATAACTTTTCTGGAAAGTTTTGATTTAAATTAAAGTTGAAGCCAGAATAATAACCTAAAAGAAACAAAAAAAAGGAATTTTTTTTTTTGAACTAAAACATCAAAGGATTTTGTAAAAGCAGTGTATACAGATATCAAAATTTATTGACAACATACAAGATAAACAGCCGTAGCTACAAGGAGGTGAACATTGCGGTGGCGGTTGCGGTGGTTTCAACATACACGCCAACAACGGTGAATACTATTTTTAGCATAACTGTGCCGGTAATTGTGAAGTTGGGGACCCCAAATGTATGTAACATCGATAAGGATTTTTTTTATATGCTTAAGTAATGATGTTTAATAACACTATTATTTAACAAAAACTTATTTGTTACAAAAAGTTTGAGATAGTAAATTAGTTAATTTCCTTGTTACAAAAGTTTGAATTGATAAAGCAATTAATTATATAGAAATATTTAAAACAACAACAAAAAAAGGAAAAATTAATTAAATTATTGTAAATTATATTGCTACTTAATAATAGATAGCTAAATTAATAATAATATATATATATTAAATAATATTATGAAGAACATTATTTGAAAACTAATATTGCTCAAGGTTTAGAGAAACTAAGAAGAAAGAAAAAAAAGAAAGGACCTTTTCCTGGTATTATTATATGCTACTAAGTTTTTCTTGTTTGTCAGTAGTATTTCTTTTGGTTTTTTTTTGAAAATTTTGTCTAGGTACAGCGACCGCGCGAGTGACATCATTTGGGCAGTTGTGGTAATTGCCTAACTAGGCAAGCAAAAAATCTTTTTACTTCATACATATATTTTTTTTTCTTTTCTTCTTATT